AAGCTACAGTATTTGACTTTCTGACTCACTGACAGCACTTAGAACTTGTGACCTGGCCAAGGGCTAGAATCTAGATGCCACCAAAACACTGACAGATCTTTTAGTTTATTGTCATTCAATTCTCTGATGGCTTAAGGAACCTACTGATGGGGTTGAGATAATATAGCAAATGCAAATAAAATGTTCTTGTGATTCTGAAGAGCAGGGAAACAGTTTGCTGACTGCTAATTTCCTTCTTGACCAAGAAATCCATCCTACAGGATATGGAAACCTTACCATTTTGAGATAGTGTGTTGTGCAAACAAGCACACTGTAGCAATAAACAATATAAATAATAAACCATTGTTAATATAATATTGGTCACACAGACTTAATAAAAAATATAAGGGAGGCTTTAATAAATAATCCAATTAAGATCAAAGCCTCTGATATATAACAAATATTTTGATGCATTTTGATCTTTTTCAATGTTATAATCAACTTTAGATGAAAAGACTAAAAAAATATGCTTGTAATATTGCCGTCCTAAATTGTAATTAACATTGAGGGATTTTTTTCCTGTTTATTATTCTCAACATTCTAAGCTATTTCAATAATAGAATGTTATTGTTTGCATGTTAATAATTTTTAAACATATTATACAACAATACAATGTACTAAGATTTATAAAAACAGAACAAAAAGGAAAAAAATGAATTTTAAACAATGCCTCTAGCATTAGGTTTAAGTGCAGCCAATGTGTTACACTTTTGTTCTGATTGTTCTGTTTCTTTTTATTCAGCTGATGTATTGTACTGAGTTGTGCTTATTTTATAATGGGCTCTCTTGATGTAGATGTGGGTGTGGGTGTGTTTCTTTTTTTAAATTACAGCAGCTTTTAGACAAAGCTTCCCTAAAGCAATTTTTAAGGTTTTTTTTTTAAAACAAAACAAAACAATAAAATATAGGATACACATTAAAGAAGTAGCATAAAACATTTAAAGTATCAGTATTCATTTATTCAAAAGCAGCCCCATATAAAAATTGTCATGCAAACATCTCAGCTAAGGAGATTGTGCTAGTATTGATACTGGCAGACAAAATATGCATTAGTTTAATGGGTTAATTAAACATATGCTTTGGTTTTATAAGTGAAACAGAAATTGCAAATCTGAGTTTTTGAGAAGCCCCAAGGAAAAAAATTAAAAGTGGCAGAGATCTACTGGCTATGCATTTCCAGCTTATTTGTACATTGCTAAATCAACAGGGGGGAAAAACTGAGACTGTATCTTAATAAAACCATTATTTGATCTTTGTTCAGCCCCAGATTTCCCACAATGGAACTGATGGGGAATTTATCATGGGGATACTAGTAGTAACATAATGTCTAGACCAACTCATAACTTCATTGAAGTGATGCCCCATAGTCCAACAAGGAGAAGTATGACTCAAAAACAGCCACCAAGGGAGAAAAAACATGCAGGAAATATGAAACCTGTACTTATTTAATATTGTCTTCCTATGCACACTTATCAGGAATAAACCCTGTGGACCTTATTAGACTTCTGTTTTGAATATCTCTCCTATGAAGGAAAGCTAAACCAGCCACATTTTCTCACAACCAATTGCCAAACAGTTGCCTATTAGAAACTCACCAGTGGTTCAAGTGTACTGGAGATGAAGATAATTAATTAAATTTTTATATCGCTTAAATCTCAAGTCTCTGGATGGCTTACAATAATCAAATAAAAAAATACAATGAAATGGATAAAAGATGGCAAGTATAATAAAGTGGGGGTATCCCTCTCCCTCAAGGAAGGCCTAAATTCTTCTAACTAGCAGAGGGAGGCTATCCAGATGTTGGGGGCAACCTTGTTCGGAAGGACAGGTGCTACTATGAAGGTCTGAATAGATGACATTGTTTAATAAAAGGAATCTGGAGTACACCAACCCTCTTGGATCAAATTGACCAGGCAAATGCTATGAGTGACAGATGGTCCGCCTAGTAACCAGTGTTATGCCATGTAGAGCTTTATAGATAATGACAAGCACCTTGAATCGCACCCAAAAGCAAACTGGCAGCTGGTTGAGCTTGCAAATTACAGGTGTTACACGGGCCTACCAAGGTATGCCAATTGTGTTGCCGTAGTCAAACCGGAGGGTGACTAGGTCAAGAATGGCAGTCCCAAGCACCCCTCACCCCAATCCAGGAAAAGGAGCAACTAGCACACCAGGTGGACTTGGGCAAAAACCTTCCTAGCCACATCAGGAAGCTGCTCTTCAAGCAAGAACTGTGAGTTCAAGAAGATCCCCAGATTATGCACCAGCCTTGAAAGGGAAGGTTCTATCCCATCGGAGGTCAATGATAGGATATGCCTAGATCTGCGTGCCTCAGAGCCACAGCTCTTTATTTTCGTAGGATTGAATTAGACTGACAAACCCACACAACTTCCAGGCATTCATATAGAACCTCGAAAGCTTCATTGGTGGCCTGCGGTTGAAAGATATAGTGGATTTTATCAACATGCTGATGATATCAAGGTCATCCACTCATTCGGTGGTTTCATATAGATCAGCTGGCTGGGGAATTCTGGGAATTGTAGTCCACAACTCTTAAAATTGCCATAGTTGGACACCCTGATATAGATAGTGAAAAGGAAAGGAGAAACAGTAGAACCCTGTGGTACCCCACATAGAAGGGGCCTCTGGAGTGGTCCCTTTTTCCTAACTAGCACCTACTGGAACCATCCCTGGAAAAAGAAGAGAATCAACATAAGACAGTGCTTCCAAGACAGTGCTGAAGAGTATCATGGTTAACAATATCAAAAACCACTGAGAGATCAAGAATGGATATAGCACTTCCACCATATTTCATCAAGAAGTATGACTGAGGCTGTCTCAATACTAAATCCCATCTTAAAACCCAACTGAAATGGGTTTAGATAATCCGTTTTTTTCTCATCAGCTGCAGACCAACCACTTTGGTCTGGCTGGCAGCAAGGTTACTACAATGTTTTTTAATCAGCAAGGTTATTACAATGGCTTTTAATCATGATAGCTGCATTCCCAGGTTCAGACCTAGGGCACTTCTGAACACTAGCCACTTGGGGATATGAACTGCAGAGAGGAAGCCATTCTAAAGCTACCAGATCTGGGCTGCTAAAATCCAGCAGTTGTTGAAGGACATTAGGAAAATCCATTACCAAAACAGCAATCAAACCAGGCAGCTTGAGTCTCTATATGGACGCTGCTTCCGGAAGTCCATTCTGGGCCTGGGCAACAAAAAATTAGCAACCGGTTCTGCTGAACTGGTGCGAACTGGCTGAATCCCACCATTGCCTTAAGTGCATTCCAATAAACTACTCTGAAGAAATGCCTTAGGACCGCTCTAATTCACACAAAAATAAAAGAGGGAAGAAGGGAAGCACATTCAGATTTGAAAAATTCTGTTATTATAGCTGTACTAATGAAATAACTTTTAGACCTATGTAGTATTGGTTTCTTAATTTGGTTTGGCCAGAATTGCTTGATTATGAGATGGGTGGCATGTACATTTAATACATAAATAAATAAATTATAGGGTTGGCAGCAGCAAAGAGAGTTTTCCTTATGTCCTTGTTGCCTAGTGGTTATTGAATTTTCAGATGTCACCTAGGCCTGGGAAATATAGCCACCATGACTAGAAACCATTGAAGCCTTATCCTCTACAAATTAGCTTAATTTCTTTTTAAAGCTGACCATGTTAGCAGTGATCACAGCACTGTGAAGTGTTGGATTCTGTAGATTAACTGCAATATAAAATGCTTTCTTTTATCTTGAACCATGTTCTTGATACCGTGCATAATTATATTTCTCTTTCTGATCCTCACTTGTTGTTTTTTTTCTAAGTAAAAAAGCTCTAAACTTTTTCTTATGGGGAGTTTCTCCAATTCTTGGTCATTTTTTTTTACATGTGCATTCTTTTAAAAGTATGCCTATGGGAAAATGTTGAGCAGTGAATTAGTTATCTTTGTTTTATATATTCAAGTTAATGAAGCCCATTTAATTTTTGAATCTAATCCACATCTGATGAGAATTCAGTTCATTACTTCTGGCTTTGCCCTAGATTTTTCAGGAAATCCTAAGCTTCTTGCTCAAGATCTTACACTACATCAAACAAAATAAAAGAAAATGGCATTATAATCTCATCTTGGCTACTCATATGAATCATAATATGAAATTCAAGTTGAGTTTTTAAAAGACGTTCTGTCCTTCTGCTTACTCAGAAGCCAACCTGTCCATCTGGATAGCCTAAATCTGCTGTTTTCTATGGAGAGAACCGTCTCTACCTCGCTCCACCGGTGGTCTCTGTGAAAATGTGATCTTGGTCATCTGTTTAATTGAATGGTGAAATGAGATGTCTTAACAATAACAGAAACACAGGGCACCCTTAAAATAAAACAAGAAGGGAGAACAGTTCCAATTAAAAATTGTTGATTAAATCCTATGACTTTTAACCTACTGTTAATGAATTAGCCAAGCTGATTAATGAATTGACGTTTTGAGGCTATACTTTCTTATCTGGCTATCTGTGGATGATGTCAGCACATTCACAGTTCAAATAGCTTCAGTCTATTTCTAGTTCAAGAAAATGTCATCTGTCTTTAGAGATGGATCGTATGATCAATTCAATATAGCACACTGCATGCTTATTCATAAATCAGATTCTCCATCCTGTTTCCACAATAAATGTGACATTCATAAACAATTTTAGTGCATTTTACTTACAAAATGCCTAGCTGTATATTGTATATTGTACTCATTTCTTTATTTATTAATGTTTTGACGCACTTTTGTGAATTGGTTTAAAAAGGAAGCTCTTTGTAAAATTCAAACATATATAAAAAACAATGGATAATTATACTGCAATCAGCATGGCAGTCTAGTCAGTGAAGAACAGGTCAACTCCCATTGATAATCATAACATTTAATTCTTCAAGCAATTTGCATTACCAGCATAGGTAAGTATGGGATACAAAATATATGGAATGGATAATAACAGTGATCAATGATGAGAGCTGTGGTTTTCAGAAGTTATCTTTCCTTAATATAACAATTTTATTATAATTAAACAATTTATAATAATTTATGTTCACTTTGATCCATAAATTACAAAGGAACAGAAAATATGATAAGGATTGCTCTAGTTTTTCAGAGTCAGTTTCAATTTCATGTAATGTCAGGGGCACCTGAATTTTAAAAATAAATAAACTAATTAAAACTTTTTAGACATCTCAAGAGATCTTATATATTCTCCCCTGAAATCTCACACCATCTTTGGTAAGAGTATAAAGAGTATACAGAATTTACAAGAATTATCTGGCTTATGAATTATTCTTTTTTGATGTTCAGTCAAGTCATATCTCTTCATGACCCCATGGACCATAAAACACCAACCCTCTGTCCTCCACTGTCCCCTGGAGTTTGTCAAACTCATGTTCATTGCATCGATAATACTATCTAACCAGCTCATCTAAACATCTCATCCTCCACCGTCCCCTTCACCTTTTGCCCTCAATCGTTCCCAACATCAGGGTCTTTTCCAATGAGTCCTCTCTTCTCATTTGGTGGCTAAAGTACTTGAGCTTCAGCTTCAGCATCAGTCCTTCCAAAGAAGAATCAGGGTTGATTTCCTTTAGGATTGACTGATTTGATCTCCTTAGGGACTCTCAAGAGTTTTCTCCAGCACCACAATTCAAAAGCATCAATTCATCAGTGCTCAGCCTTCCTTAGGATCCAACTCTCATAGCCATTTTTATTCTTACTCTTATGTGGGAGGGGGGAGCTACCCACTAATGTTGAGGATGCGATGGGGATGGAATGGGACTTTGCCAGCCTCCAAAACATCAAGTAGTGTCAGCCCTTTAAGGCAGCCTAGACTAGAAGCCCAAACTATGAGTCATTTTTCTATTTATTTATTTAATTTTATTTAATTTTATTTATATTTTTACAGTATCTTATTCCACAATAACAGCATCTTGCATGACCAAATATTTTTCTCTCCTCCCTTACTTTTACTTTCAAGGAAACTAGAATGGATACCTTCTGAAATGCTTTCTACATCAGTTTTCTTCCTGTGGGCTGAGATTCTCTTGCATGATGGTTGTCTAATTTGTGGCTCTTTCTCCTGTCTCTGAAGGTCATTCCTACATGTAGCAAAATTAAATCACCATCACATCAGTGCCTTTTTATCAGATCTATGGAAATATCTAAATGACATAAGAAAACCAGTATGTAATCAACACTGTAAACATTTCAGATCGTGGGAAGAAGACTTTATTCTGTTTTAAAGCTAGACTATGATAAGTAAGTTCCATATAGCTCAGAAAAAGCTTGTTGGAAATATTGGCTGCTTTGGCCTCTGTTCCATTCAACCTTTGCCTGTGATGAATGTCTTTAAATAGTAACACTTTGGATGGATAAAGATTTCTAGAAGAGTAAGGAGGAAAAACTGCCATGTATTACAGAAATAGAACGTTGAATAGAAGGTCCAAAGTAACAAAAATAATACTTTTTCTTTATATGCCAAACCACCCAATGAATCAACATTTCAAATGCCTTCTCTTAGTGATCTGTTCCAGCAAGAATAATCTATCATTCCCCCACTGCTCTCCATGCTATGAAGAACAGAGTGGGGGAAAAGAGAAAAATTGAGGATGGGGATATCCACATGGGGTTCTCGTAGTGCACTATTATCAACAGATTACATTTAAGTTTTGTGGTTTTTAAAGGGGAAAAATGCTATTCTATATGGACATCAAAAAAGCTGATCACTTGATAAAGATCTATTTTTATTAAGCTTTCCTTCTGAATTTTTCAGACCTCCTTCAACTGGAGATTGACATTGTTAAAGGATTTTTGACAAGCTTTTTGTGATAATAATATAGATCACAATGAAAACAGCTTGAGACTGGACAAAATAAATGTTTTTTTAAATCTCTTCAATTTTCTAAAGATAGATTATATGATAATTTCAACCACTATATTGTGGTCTTTCACTTCACAGGACAAAGACCAAAGTTTAAGGTTGAAGTGATTGTTGTTGTTGTTGTTGTTAGTTGTGAAGTCGTGTCTGACACATCGCGATCCCATGGACAACATTCCTCCAGGCCTTCCTGTCCTCTACCATCTTCTGGAGTCCATTTAAACTCACGCCTACTGCTTCAGTGATTCTATCCAGCCACCTCATTCTCTGTCGTCCCCTTCTTCTATTGCCCTCAATCTTTCCCAGCATTAGGCTCTTCTCCAATGAGTCCTTCCTTCTCATTAGGTGGCCAAAGTACTTGAGTGTCAACTTCAGGATCTGGCCTTCTAAAGAGCAGTCAGGGTTGATCTCCTCTAGGACTGACCGGTTTGATTGCCTTGCAGTCCAGAAGACCCAGGGGTCTTCTCCAGCACCATAGTTCAAAAGCCTCAATTCTTTTGCGCTCAAGCCTTTCTTATGGTCCAACTTTCACAGCCATACATTGCAACTGGGAAAAACCATGGCCTTGACTATATGTACTTTTGTTGATAGGGTGATGTTTCTGCTTTTTAGTATGCTGTCTAGATTTGCCGTAGCTTTCCTCCCCAGGAGCAAATGTCTTTTAATTTCTTGGCTGCAGTCCCCCTCTGTGGTGATCTTGGAGCCCAGGAAGATAAAATCTGTCACTACTTCCATTTCTTCCCCATCTATTTGCCAGAAATTGAGAGGGCCGGATGCCATGATCTTGGTTTGAAGTAATTACAGATGTTAAAATCAGTAGGTTTAAATTACCTTACTTGGATAAAACATATTTACATATCTATTTTGCCATAAAATAGTGGTTTGAGAAGACTTAAAGGTATACAAATAGACTTTATTCAAAATAGCATCAAGGGTCTAACACTAACATTAAAAAGCATCAATACTATTTCTATCATTTTCTGCTAAAGTCCAACTTTTGCTTCCATAAACTGTCATAGTAAGTACCACTGCCTTTACTATTCTGATCTTTGTAAATCACATCACATCATATCACATCATCTGAGTATATTTTCCAAGGTCTACATGACTACTCTACCAGCTAGTCCGAAGCATTTTTTTTTTACTGCTTGTTCCTTTATTCTGGGTGGAATATATTGAATTTTAGTGTCATTTTTTTCTTTATGCTCCTTGATGTTTCTTACTAGAGCTTGCAATCCTTTGCATTTTCAACTAAATAGAGTACTGTCATCAACCTAGCATAGGCCCATCTTCTTCCAACCCTGTTTTCCTTAATATATACTCAGTATATAGGTTGAATGAATAAGGAGCCAGGTATATAGTCCTGTGTCAGTCATTTGCTAACCTGGAACCAGTTAGTTTCACCAAGTTCTTCTCTGACTGTGTCTTCCTGGTTTTGCATCAAGACTAAGAGATTCTGGGATTCTTATTTTCTTAAACACATTCCACAGTTTAACATGATCTTCATAAATGCCTTTTTATCATAAAGGCCTTTTTATCATCTTCATAAAGGCCTTTTTATTATCAATACCTACTAACTTCTTTTTGGTATTCTTTGTCTTTTTCCAATATCCAGCATGTATCAGCAGTAATGCCTCATATTTTGCAACCTTCACAGGGCTAAAAGGTGCAACTACCATAGGTCTGAGGGCCATGCCAGGAATTTTGTGTCTGGCAGAGGCTACATTGATCAGGAATTTGATGCTATGTCAACATTCTTTGAAAGAAATGAGGTGGAAGGAATTGATTGGAATTTGTACCAAAAATGCAATGCTGGATTCATAATCAGGTTTGTTTGCTTGTTTCTGGGGGAAAAAAATTAAAAGAAAACTCATCTCTTTTTGGAAGCTAAAGCATCACTCGCTACAAAATGTTAGTTTCCAAAATTCTGCCCATTGATCTACAAGAAGACTTCCAAATTGTAATTAGAGAAGTAAGTTAGATGAAAAGGAGTACAAAAAACCTGAGGATATTTGAGAACCTCTGAATATTTGAGATCAGTCACAGAGTTCTTCAATTCTTCACTGCGGTTCAATGGTTGTCAAAAAGGAAATGTTTTGAATTCTTTATAAGCTGAAGGGAGAACTCACCATTTTTGAAATATTATGGAAGTGATAACTTTCACTGAAGACTGGCATACCTTACAGATATTACTTAAACTGTTGAACACATAGAATCTGAAAGGACAAGCATTTCTAGCCAAACTAGAAGTTGCTATTAAAAAATACATCTTCATTTTCTTGACTTGATGAAGCTGTTAAAGACAAACCTCTGGAAAATAATCTCAGGTAAAAATTAGATCTTGTCAGGAAGATGAATTCAGATAATGTTTCCCAGATGTTGTGGCTGAAAATCCCATTTACAAACTTGTAAAGGAGCTTTTATCTCTCATATTTAGTCCTTGCCAGAGAATCTCCAAGAGGAGTTTTTGGAACTCCAACTTGATTAAGCTGCCAAATATAACTTCCAACAAATTACTTTGAAGATTTTTTTTAAATTAAAATACTTATCCTAAACAAATTAGTAGGCTCTATGTGTCATCGTTCTACTTTCATCAACATACATTTGCAACACTCTTTCCCCTCCCTTCTCCTGTGCTTATGGCTAGAAAAACAAAGCAGCACTACAGGCCTGACAATGAAAGTGCACTACGTTATGCTGTGTGCAGCTTCCGCACTTAGCAGAATTCAAAAGCTTGTGGCAAGCAAACAGCCTCAGGGTTCAGAGTCATCACAACATAAGCAAATTATGTTTGATTGGATTTTTTTTTATGAAGATCAAAGTACTTTATTCTAAATTTACAAATTGTTTGCTTTGATTTTGGTCATGAGATTTCATTCATTCTGAAATTACAAATGCCACTATTGAAGGAAGTGGGTTTGAAGGGAGCGTGACATTTTTAAGCCGTTGCAAAGAAGAGTCATGAATTAAGAAGGTGTTGAGAAACACTGGCCTAGATGGACAAATTGCAAATCCTTGTCAGCAGGCTGTAGAAACTGAGAGTTTTGGAATTGGCTGGTGAGTTGGGCAGCTACGGTAGGAGTGGAATCAAACTCCCAGCTATAATGCAAGCCTATATGGATGCAAGGTTTTCCTGAGCCTCATTTCTTAACCACTTTTGGTTGAACCCACTTTGTCAAGGACTTTCCAGTTGAATGGTAAGAGGCATTTTTGGGAAGAAAAGGACTACTAAATTCAGGCTCAGATAAGGCCAGCTTAACAGAACCTGTAGAGACACTGTTAAGCCAAAAGAAATTATAGAACATTCAACATTTGACTTTTTTTAGAAATATTTAATAAAGTATTTAGAAAACATATATTTAGAAATATTTAGTAAAATATTCTGCTGTCTGGTGTACCACTTTGGTATTCTCATCTTAAACGAACCAGTCCTGAATTCTACCCTCCTTCTCCCAATATTGTTTTTAAACTGTTGCTTTCTATTATTTGACTTTTTAGAAAGTACACTTCAAATGGACTACTTATTTTATATAGCAATTGTAGTTATATTTTTTTGGCCACACAATAAGCCTTAAGATGTGAAAAAGAATTTCTGTTCCCTTTTCTTTCTGGGTAGGTCTTTAATGTATGGCTTCTAATTTTTTTAAATTATTTAAATCACAAGAACTTAATTTTGTGTTTCTAACAAATTATAATGGTGATTGATTAATTGATTGATTGGATTGGATTGTTTGATTGATTCAGAATATGTAGTGGAATGTTATAGTTACTACACAATCCAATAATATATTCTTCAGTTTTCAAAAGTTCCAAACTTTGTATGCACGATGAAGTCCCTCAAAGTAGCACAGAGTCAATTTAATAAGGGTATCTGAGATGCCAGGAAAACAATTCTATAAAGACACAATTTTCTTAACTGTCTTTTGAGAGTTATTATATACAAATTAAATCTGTAAATCACATCTTTCACCTACAAAGAACTCAGGAATGGATATTTATTGATTCATACTTACAGATGCAGACACGTACATGCAGAGGAAACTATTATAATGCAACCAAATAACACAATAGTAAGACATATTTTTTTAAAAATTTTCAAAGCAATGTTATACAAAGAACAACCAAATTATTGGCCTTATCTCAAAAATCAGATTAGCTTTTACATTGCTTGACATGTCAGAAAGATGAAAATAGAAAAAAAAAATACTTGGCATCTTTCTCAGTCTTATATCATCAAATATATCATCAGCTGAGCTCTGTCTTCTCTGAGAAGCAATCATAACAGGATTTCAGTGAAATGGACCTCAATTTTTTTATAATAAAACTATGCAGGTCTCAGCATCCCAGTGTATTAAATCTTATAATTAACATGACAATATTAAAAATATCAACTTACTCCTGGATTCATAAAACTCCTTGTCACGATTCAAAACATATTCTCTTAACATTATCTTCATCGTCTGCATGTGCTAGAATGATTCATCTAACCAAATCCCTTTGCAGCCATTAGTTTATGAACACATAGAACTACTGGGAGAATGTGCAGTATTAACTCTGCTGCCTTAATGACAGCAATTTTCTCAAGTTAATATGCAAGAGGCTTGAATCCTGAAGGCTGGTAGTTCAAATACAGGCTTCTCCACACAGCTTAGGAAAGCCCGGCCAACTGCTGATTCCCATCAATCCATCCCTAGGGAATGATAAACTGGTCCTCCAGGTCCTTCAGATATCTATGAAGAAGGTTTCAGTTGGAGTCTGTTTCTTTTTCTGAAATAATAATATTATATGTTTTAGCCTCCAGTCCCCTAATCATCTTTGTTGCTCTTCTCTGTACTCTTTCTAGAGTCTCAACATCTTTTTTACATTGTGGTGACCAAAACTGGATGCAGTATTCCAAGTGTGGCCTTACCAAGGCATTGAAGAGTGGTATTAATACTTCATGTGATCTTGATTCTATCCCTCTGTTAATGCAGCCTAGCACTGTGTTGGCCTTTTTGGCAGCTGCAGCACACTGCTGGCTCATATTTAAGTGATTGTCCACTAGGACAATGCAGCAGAAAACTGAGGAGTTACGAATGCACAGCGCAGAGGCAGAATCAGATTTATGGCATGGTGGCAGAACCACCTTAGTAAAACTGTTCTTTCTTCAAAGTGAACAATGTGAGTCTTCAATAATGTGCATGCATATACAGATACACCCACACACACACAGAAAAAGAGAGAGAGAGCAAAAACCACCAAAGTTGTACAAATACTTTGAGAGAAGTTCTATGCAACCTAGGAGAGCATGTAGAGGTAGTCCTTGATTTACAACCATTCGTTTAGTGACCATTCAAAGTTATAACAGCATTGAAAAAAAAGTGACTTATGACCATTTTTCACATTTATGACTGTTACAGCATTCCCATGGTCACCTGATCAAAATTCGGACTGTTGGCAACTGGCTCATATTTATGATGGCTGCAGTGTCCCGGGGTCACATAATCCCCTTTTGCGACCTTCTGACCAGCAAAGTCAATGGGGAAGCCAGATTCACTTAACAACTGTGTTGCTAACTTACCAACTGCAGTGATTCACTTAATAACTGTGGCAAGAAAAGTTGTAAAATGGGGCAAAACTCACGTAACAGTCTCACTTAGCCACAGAAATTTGTAGTGGTAAACCGAGGACTACCTGTACTTAGCATCTCTGGACTGAGAGCCAGTTTGAGAGCGAGAAGCCAGGCAACTGGAAGTTCTAGTCCCGCCTAGGCATAAAAGCTGGCTGGGTGTCTTTGGGCTGGCCATGCTCTCTCAGGCCCAACTCACATCAGAGAGACATTGACGTGGGGAAAATAGAAGGAGGGAAGAATATTAGGTATAGTATGTTAGCTGCCTTGAGTTACTTAATAATAAAGGCAGGAAATAAATAAATAATATAATAATTCTCGCTTCAAATCACATCAACATCTACTAGGCTATAATGACCTGGGGAGGGGGGAAGGAGGAAGTTATCATCTGCTTGAGGGATTTGGATGCTGGCAACAGGGTCTTTTTATAACAGGAATGACAATGGGGTGTATGTGTGCAAAAACAGAGATCAATTCACAGAGAAAAGAAGAGGAGACAGCTAGGAGCAGCCACGCAGCCTGGCAGATGCTGATGTGATTTGAAGAGAGATGGTGAATACATGCTCTCCTATGTTCCATGGTACAGTACTTCTTTCAAAGTACAACCTTCATAGTTTCTGCTATGGGTGGGTGCCTGTATATGCCTAATTCGGATAAAGCATGGCCAAAGGGATGGAACTTGTGCAAGATCAATCTCAACTGAAGCTGGTGACCCAAGATTAGCAAGATAGAAATCTAAGCAGAGCCAAGAATTTTTGCCTATTATTTTTCCTGGCTACTCTTTAAAAAAAAGTGGGGGGTTTCGTCTAAATTCAGGCTCTTCTTTCAATAAAATAGAGCAATATAAATGAATTTGGCTAGATTAAAGCTTGATCCCTGTCAAATAAAATCCCCTATTCTGAAGGCATAGTTTCTCTAACTAGGGTATTTATATATTGTCCTTAAATGCTTTGTTTGTTTGTTTCTGGAATCACACAGTGAGTCAAAAAGCTACTTGTAAAGCACGGATGGGGAACGATGGCCCTTTTATGAGTTGTGGACTTCAACTCCCAGAATTCCGAGCCAGCCATGTTGACTCAGGAATTCTAGAAGTTGAAGTCCACAAGTCATAAAGGAGCCATCCTTCCCCACTTCTGATGTAAAGGTTCATAGAGCACAGCAGTTTTTCAGAACCACGAAAGACATCTAAGACACATTTCATTGTTATCACCACCGCCACTGGCCACCACCACAGTGTTTCTTCCATTACACAATATCAGCTGACATTATCTTCTTAAGGCCTTTAAATACAGTTGGCCTTTACTGGCAGGAAATTTACAGCACATTCCAAATGCCTGGCCATGTGGAGTGAGGTCTGTGTTAACAGATTCTGGAGAGAGATCTGAGAAATTAAACTAATAAACTAATCCACCCAAGAGAAGACATCCAACAAGAACTGAGAACTGCTGCTCTAAAACAGTGGGAAGAGCTGCCTTAAATTGCCTCAAGCTACTCCTTTAATTGCAACCTGGATAGTATTGTCCTAGATATGCAAAAGTTTGAAGGAGAGGTATTGTTTCCTTTCAATAAATCCCTCTGTCAAGAGAGCCAGTGAAAACAAAATAATCATGTCAATGGCAGAAAGTCATCCTTTTTTTGGGGGGGGGGTGAGTTGATTAAACAGAATCTACTGAATTATATGCCACAGATATTATAGCGTACAGGAACATGGAATATATTCAGAAGAGTTTTTCTAATAGCTCTGTTGACAGTCATGTTTGGCAGCCATTGTGCTGTTTCGTGAACTGTTTTCTTTTCCTGGTGATCCATCTATGAGTGGATTCCCAGTGATACAAGAAATGTTCCCATGTATATCTCCACTTATTACAAACAATGATCACCCCACAAACAAAGCACAGAAGCATGTGCAAATTGTATCTGATTCCCAGAAACTGCTTGGACAAGTCCCTGCAGTTTTCTTGGCAAGGTTTTTCAGAAGTGGTTTGCATTTGCCTCCTTCCTAGGGCTAAGAGAAAGTGACTGGCCCAAGGTCACCCAGCTGGCTTTGTGCCTATGGCAGGACTAGTGCTCACAGTCTCCTGGTTTCTGGTCACTCTAGGGCACAGGTGTCAAACTCGCTGCATCACATGACATGTCATGATATATGGTGACTTTTTTCCGCATTGCCAGAGCTGAGGTGAGCGTAGCCTTGGCATGAGGCAAATGGCCCGCAGGCCGGGAGTTTGACATCCCTGCTCTAGGGTAGCTCTTTTTTACAGTGAGAAGACCACCATGTAGCGTTGTTTTCACCATGCACAGCTATAGGAGAGGAGATGGGTCGTCATCTGATATTCATCTAGTGGGTGGTGCCAATTTGGGGAAGATTTCCACTGAGGTTGTTTTCTTGTTTTAAGATGCTAAACTTCTCTAAGGATTCAGTGCAACTTATTCTTTATGTGCCTTCTAGAAGCTGAAAAGAAATTATTTTGGGCGGAGGCTACAAAATAAAAGTGATTGTGGCCACTTGTAGCCCATAGGTTATGGGTTGCATGTCAAGAGAAATGGATACTTGTGATCTTTGTTATTGTCATCTGATAGCTTGGCTTTTGGAAGCTTCCATGATGAGGCAGATTTTTAATTTTTTATCCCAGATTTATTGCTTTATAATTAACTTAAGATGGTGAACTTCCTCCTATTTTCCCCATAACAACAGTCCTTTCAGGTGGGTCGGGCTGAGACAGAGTCAGGACTAGAACTCAAAGTCTCCTGGTTTCTAGGCCAACTGCTTAACCAGTGCACAAATGGACTCTGTTTTTTTCCCCAAAAATGTTCTAGAAGCAATAGGCCTCAATAGGACAAAAGCTTGATTGTGTCAGATTATCCTAAGCTTTTCACTAGAAATGGGCAGATACTAGGGAGTACAAAAGCTGGCTTGGTGACTTTGGGCCTGACATTCTTTCTCTTGGCCCAAACCACCTCACAGGTTTGTTGTGTGGAAAAGGAGGAAGAGAAAGGAGTTTTATGTGTGTTCACTGCCTTGAGGCTTATAAATTAATAAAAGTAGGATTAAAATCTAATGAGAGAGTGAGAGAGAAAGAGAGAGAGAGAGAGAGAGGTGTGGGGGGGGAAACCTATTCCTTCATATAGCAGGATAATTCACATGGAATATTATATACAAAATGTGTTTCTTTTAAGTTTTCATACAGCATAGCAAACCAGATCAAGAGCCCCCTAATATTTTCCTTCATCCCCTGGTTTTGCTTTTAAACTGGAAGAAAATGAAGGCAGAGAGTTAAGATGCAACCATCTGCCCAGCCTTTAGGGCTCCCAATAAGATGTCAATACTGCATTGTCTTCCTCACCTGCCACTACTTAAGAAGCAGGAAGGAGACTTGGGAGGCTAGTTCAATTCCAAACCTCAAGAAAATGAGTACAGCTGTTATACAGTAGAGCACTCCCCAAAAATGTTGACTGCAGCCATTCAGAATTTCCTTCTGCCATAACTTTAGTAGGTGGCAAGCCACTGCCTCAGTTTCTCTCCCATTCCAAACTCCAGCATTTAGAATAAAATGGTTTCTTCTACAGGCTTTTAGCATATCAGTGATGGCTTACACAAGGCAAGGTTACTTAATGCAAAAAAAGAAAAAAAACAAAACCTGGCACAAACAGTATAATGTTGTAGCCATGAATTGTGTGCAAATCTGCTTACATTTTTCTTTCTCCTTTTCTTGGAAGAGGATCAGCTTTGGTCACATATGGAGACGATGCACACATTTGTTCCTCCAAAGGCAGGTCATCCGAATCACTGTGCTAAGCACGGGATAGATGATGTAAGCAGTAAATAGAAGAGAGGAGAAAAATCAAGCCATGCTCTAAAATGCATTTTTCCTTCTCAAACTGTTTTGAGGACTTGATGCAAACTGCCAGGCTGTGGAGGTGATGTTTAAGGGCTCTCTACTAGGTTCAATTTCCCCCTGCTTTTATTATCCTGCTGTTGCAATTCACTACCCAGTCCTGACTGATAGCTTTCCTGCCATCTGTCTTACCATCTTCCTTATACTTGACCCCCTGGAATAATGTATCTCAAAGTGTCATCTTTTATTTTGTATCTGAGGTTTAAATAACTAACTCCCAGTTGGATTTCTGTGAAAGACAACTGTGGTGTATAATTCTTTCTGAAACCTCTCCCTGAGTGGTGTAAGATACTTGGAGAGCCACATTTCACGATATTTTGATTAGAAGCCATGGCATTGTTCTAGAGTTGCAAGGCCCACTTGCCCAATGCCATGGAAAAGCTAAAATTCATCATGAAGTGGCATCTCTCTTTCCCCCAAAAGCCCAGATTTTATATACGAATTCTCTATGAAAAATGGCTGAAGTAAATATGTTAACTACTGGGGTACTTTTTTGGAACGATGAAGGACGCAGTCAAAAATCTAACCCTTATAGCCCTCATTAATTTTGGTGGCAGATATAGATCTGTGAAATGTGATTGTCTTCTGGGATCCAATTGGAATGAAAAGGTCCAATATTTCTAGCTCATAATCATACTTCCAGAGGTATATTTTACTCAAGCAAAACCAAAACTGAATGTGCAGAAGCAAATTGGAAAGCTAACTTGCACTTTTGAATATGCCAGCAGCTTGTCACTTTATTTTTTTTTAAAGGAATGTAAAATTCTTGACACAAATCAGACAAGCAGACGCATCACTGCTTGTCCTTTTGGCAGACAACGGACACAATCTGTTCAAAAATTCACTACAAGCCTTGCAGAATGGACTGGAATCCACAAATAAGCTGCCTCAGAAATGGCAGCTATGCCTGTGCTTTGTAATCCTTTGGAGTTTCACTGTGTTCTGTGCTTCTCTCCTGAAGAAACACTCAGATAAACTTGAACCTATGAATATGACAGGGATAAGGCTCAGTTAGGCCATCTTGTGCTCTCTTCATGTTCTGTTCTTGGGCTTCCATCAGCCCTACCAATGTAGCCAATTGTGGGAACTCTGTCCAGGATCATAAGTGAAGCCATCTGGACCCAATTTCAATTTATTATGATTGGCCAAAGCCATCTGGGCCCCAAGGCAAACCTTTCCAGTGAGGACATATATAGCAAAATTGGTTACTAGGAAAGATGTTAATGGCTACAAACATGCTACTCTTTGGATGGAATAATGCAGCAGAAATTTGAGGCTGCTCTTTGACTCATGGTATAATGTTGTAGCAGGCATTCTGGATGATGATGAAGGAGGAGGAGGATAGATGAGAAAGAGAGAGAAAAAGAGACATACAGACAGATAATAACTACTAGTAATCACTCTAGTCTATAGACTTTGAGGCCCTGTCTCACTCCATTCCCAGCCCTAATGCTACATTAAGGAAATATGTAGTTCCTCTCTGCCTGTACACTGTCTAGTAGCAAACCTGGTTGGTTGGTTTAAATACTGAAGACTTATGGGCCCCAAGACAGGCATCACAAATAGGCATTGTCCCTGTATTGATTATATTGATGCCCTCACTGTAGACCAAAACAATTGGAGGTGCCAAGTTGCCTCTTCCTGAGAATTAATAGGACTTGGAGAAACTAGATCACTTGATTAATATATTATGGCCCTTGTTGGGCAAGAAATGTGGGAAGAGAACAGCAATAGCCATGAATGCAACCTCCCCAAATCTTTTTCCTCTTCCTTACAAAATAGCTTTTCAGTAAAATTGGTTGCTGAGTTGGAACTCATCTCACTCTTCAAACTGAACATAAATCTCTTGCCTTATAATGGATGAGTGACTATAAAGCTTTTTTACCACCATGAGCTAACCGCATTCCCGAATGTGTCCTATGGGAATTTCACAGAGTAAAATGCTTTGTAAAACATTATGATGTATGGAAGCAAACATACCTCAGAAGCTGAAGCAACCACACATGAGTCAGCCTTCCGGTTTTATGATGCAGGATCATAAGTATTGAACCCTCTAGCCTTGGGAAAGAGGTTTCAGGTCATATGCCCTGCACACAGTTGAGATATATCTAGTCAGTTTTTCTTGCATAAGAAATAAATCATAATAAATCAGAATCAAAAATAAAAAAAAACAGAATGTTTAATCAGAATTAAAATGATACAATATTCTTTCAACACAATTAGGGAACAACTGAGAATGAGAAGAGTAATTCAACCCTTCAAAGAAAAGAACCTACAGCATTGGACAAAATAATAAAACTAGATAAACTATAAAAAATACAAGTACAGCCAACTCTAAATGCAATAAAAAGAACATAATGCATAATTAAAAGAAAAGAAAAAACTAACCGCAGCACCTTTAAGGGCAGTTTCATGTATAGCGGGGTGTTATATTTAAAAGCCACTCTTGAATTTTAGTTAAATGAGACTCAACCTTTCTATCATGCATTGAGAGAATTTGACAGAAAATGAGCAGGTCTTTGACATTCAGTGCAGACATGCATCTTGGCTGTATTAGTCATGGGTCCAGGTGTAGGAAAGGGATCTCCATTTTCATTCTTATTAGAGAACCTGTGTCCCTCCTTACACTGGGGTAGCCTATCCCCATGCACCTGCATGCAAGTGTAAGAGGGCAGACTACCCCATACATTTGATTGCAAGTGGGTGATATCCAATCCAAAGGAAAGAAGCATTCATGCAACAAAGCTTTCTCTTTTCCATCTCCCTGAAGTCTAAGTCAGTGGTTCTCAACCTTTTTATACGGCGACCCCGGTCATAAGCAGGCGGCGCGCATGCGCGGCACCGCCCCCTGCGCAGCACGCATGTGTGACGCCACCCCCTGCGCAACACGCATGCGTGGCACCGCCCCCCACGCAGCGTGCATGCGCGGCACCGCCCCATGCGCTGGTGCATGCGCAGCGCACATGCGCGCCGGTGCCCCCTGCACCGGCTGGCGGAAAAAAATGGCGGATCGCGTTGTTTGGCGACCCCCGTGAAATGGTTGTTCGACCCCAAATGCTCTAGGTCACTCGCTTAAAGGCCTCTCAGGAAGGTTGGGTAGAAGTAGACTCATCTTTAAAGGACAGAGGAATGGCCTTGAAGGACCTTTACCAAGGCAGCAATCACATAAGTGTGTCTTTAGCCTAAGCCAGAGGTAGGCAACCTCAGCTCTTTTATGACACATGGACTTCAACTCCCAGAATTCCTGAGTCAGCCATGCTGACTCAGGAATTCTGGGAGTTGAAGTCCATGAGTCATAAAAGAGCTGAGGTTGCCTACCGCTGGCCTAAGCCAAGAAAATAACTTCTGAAAATGTCTCAGACAAGTTCCTTCCTAGTTCACACAAAAATAAAAGGAAGGAGGGGAAAACTTATTTAGACTTGCAAGGTTCTATTACTATAATTATTACAATAAAAGTAGTCCTGGCCTAGGAGGCAGTGTCTTCCTATAGGACTTCTAGGCCTGACATAATTTGACATTGTTAGGTATGTCTTAGAAAACTTCATGGAAAGGGAATTGGGAAATAGCCTTTCACAATATTAGATAGTCGTGGTTATGTAATATTCAATAGATCCCTCTAGACTCTTTGACAGGCCTTTGGCAAGATGTTACATGAAATGGTCATTAAGTTAATGTTTTCTTCTGTTCTTGGTGACTTTATGGATACCACCATGCAGTTTTCTTCACAACAATAACAAAATGACTTGACAAATGCTTTCTTCCAGAATGCTTTCTGACTTCTCAGTCTAATCTATTGCTCAGAGATTTTTGGTTGATCTCTCATTCAAGTTCTAGACCAGTGGTTCTCAACCTGTGGGTCGGGACCCCATTTGGGGTCGAACGACCATTTCACGTGGGTCGCCAAACAATTCAGTCCGCCATTTTTTTCCCCCTTTTCCTTAGCTGTGCTACTCCCTTTTATTCTTTTGGCTTTTGAAAGCCAATAGAATAGACTCTCTTGAATAGAGTCTAATTCTATTGGCTTTCAAAAGCCAATTGGAATTGTCCAGGCTGTCTCTGCCCTGCTGAGCCTACCAAAAGTCCCATTCTGCAAACGGTGCTGCACCAGTTGAGCAATCCTCGACTTACGACCGGTTGAGTAGTCCTCGACTTACGACCAGTTGGGGGTCACGGCATTAAAAAGGTTGAGAACCACTGTTCTAGACAGACCCATCATGCTCAGTTTCCAAGTCCAAAGAAAGTTGGCCAAATGCTCCTTTGTTAGAATTATATTTGTTGTTAATTATCGCTTTGAAACAAACACTGCCTAATAGGTTAAAAACAATAATAATTAATACTCAGCAAGTATGTGGTTGCTTCTTTGCTCAGTGCTGAGATGGAGATGCTTCCTGTCTCTACTTTTACTCTTTTGCCTTTACAAACATGACACGGACAGCTTGCTCTAATCTCTCCTTCCTCAAAAGCTAAATAAATGGCAATATTTGCATAAAATGGAACTGGTCTAAAAAAATAACATCCGTGCTTGCTTCCTTTCTGTGCTTTTCTGGCTAGATACAGCTTAGGCCTGGCTGTTAACATTTGTAATTTCCACCAGAACTGTAGCCCAAAGGCAGGCTTAAAAAAAAAAAAACGTTCATTAAATGACCTACCCACTTTATAATTTCCACTGGACAACAGTGTCTTTTGAAAATTCGGCTTGCAATGCCAGCCTCTGAATATGCCATCCAGGTAGCCAGAATCAATGTTTGTCTAAATAAAAAAACAGGGCTTTCAATGCAAGGAAGGTTACTTTTTAAGGCTGGAGAAAACATTGAATGTTTGGAAGGACAACTCAAGGTCTTTCTAAACACTAATTTCTTTATGGCCCTTTATGGACAGAGCATGTTGCATAAGGACTGCTCAGTTAGTCTACTGGAAGCTAATCTTAAATAGGTTCAGACTGAACAGGCTGTTAATTTTATGAAAAGTTTTAAAAAAAATGATATTCTAGGTGGCCCAGGAACAGGGAGACTGCCTTAGTAGAAAGAGTTTGGGAATTGTTTTGTCCTAATATCCTCATTCCAGTTCATGGAGTCCTGAATAGTCCCAGCAAGCTTGGTGGAGAGGTGAATAAACCTTTCAGCTTTCTTAGTCCAAATGTTCTTGCTCAAAAACTCAATCCTTATAGTTGGAGATGACCAGCAGCAGTAGGGAGGATGGAAGGATGGAGAAGTCTCCTGGAAATGACTGAAGTAAGAACCTCTTCAGAATTTGTGGCATTGTAAGGGTAAATGCCCATATTAGAATTTGTGGTGGGATCACAGTCCCATAAAAGTTGAAAGAAGCAGTTTATTTCTCATTAAGGAGCTCTTGCACTTATTAAGTTGATTATATTCAGGGACACCGTCTGCCTTTCTTCCTGAAAATGTGTCAACTGAATTGTGAAAGAGCCTAAACAGTTAGAAGCTGCTTTCTATTCTCAGATCATTGATTTAAACAGCTTCATCCTGTCCAAATCAGAGATACAAAATATGAGTCTTTATTTTCTCTGTTTACCTCACGTCTATATTCACATTTCGCAGCTATTCTACAGGTTCAATGCCCATTGAATTGCTTTTATTATCTTTTAAGATTTTTCATTATCTCTCTTTCTCTCTCACACACACACACACACACACACATTTATATGAGTATCCAGGATGCCATTAAACAAAATCAAGATGGAGGTCATGGTTATATAATCAAAGAATACTTTTTTTATATGTGTTGCTTAGGTGATGGAGATGAAAAGGGACAGAGCTGATTGCTTAGTCACAACTATGATCTTGATTTTTTTTAACTACCCTGCAGACACTTCTCTGTACATTATTACAGTTAGTTGCACAGTCAGTCAAATGTTTAGACTGAATTTGGCATTTTTATTCACCTATTGAGTTCTTCCCAAGTACCTGGGATAAGCAGATGTTGTTTGATGGTGTTAGAGGTGTTGTTTTCTGTTTGATGCGGCATTGAAGAGGCAGCAGGTGAAAAAACCACTTTCTTTATTAAAGATCAAAACAGAAACTAACAACCATTTGCTCCACCCCTACTTATACACTCAGCCTAAAGGCGGCAGCCAATAGGAACACAGTATTCTCCCACTTAAATGCACGTGGCCTGCTAACCGTTATTACACAGTTCTCAACGACTCAATTCTCAGACTTTACTCAATACATTACAAGAGGAATCTTTGCAGGACGTAAGCTGTTTCGAGTAAAACTGCCTTTTGCAACTGATCACTGGTGATTTTGTCAAGGCTGGTGGTGTTCAAATTGTACTCCAGCTGTTTTGGGATTGCACCCATGGTGCCTATTACTATTGGTACTACCTTTGCTTTCTTTTACCGTAGCTGTTCTATTTCTGTTTGCAAGTCTTTGTATTTTATTGTCTTTTCTAGTTCTTTTCTTTTATTCTGCTGCCTCCAGCTACTGCCATGTTCACAATGCAGGAACTTCTGTCTTTCTTATCAATAATTGCTAAGTCTGGGTTATTATGTGGCAGGTGCTGTCTGTTTGAATTCTAAAGTCCCACACCATTTTAGCTTCTTCATTTTCTGTTACTATGTCTATTTTGTGGTCCCACCGGTTCTTGCATGGAAGTAAGTGGTATTTCTTGCAGATATTCAAATGTACCATTGTGGCTACTCTGTCATGTTGTTGTTTGTAATCAAACTTTCTTGCAACAGCTACTGTGTTTTCCTCAAACTAAGACCTGGTCTTACTTTTTTTTTTTTTTTTTGCCTCCAAAAGAGGCACCATGTCTTATTTTTTGGGGGGGGTGTCTTTTCCACTCACTTTGCTGCAGCGGCCCTGACAGCTTCGCCCAGCCAGCCCACTTCTTCTGCAGCCAAAGGAGCAGCTTCATTCTGCAACTGAGAATGGAGCTCAGGCCTGCATTTTGCCATCAGAGGCCTTTCCAAAAGGCCACTGCAGCCAAGAACTGAGCTACAGATGGAATCCATAGCTCGGTTCTCGGCTACAGAGGCCTTCCCGAAAGACCTCTGACAGTGAAATGCAGGCCGAGCTTCATTCTCAGTTGCAGAATGAAACTGTTCCTTTGGCCGCAGAAGAAGTTGGCCAGTGAAGCAAGTGTCGATCCATGGGAGGCCTGGCTGCAATGATAAGCTCCATCCCCACCCTACCTTGATTTTTAGGCATGCCCCTTGCCCCAAAATTAGGGCTTATATTAGGCCCACCCCCAAAAATCAAGCTAGCACTTATTTTCAGGGTAGGTCTTTCAGGGAAACACGGTAACTAGATGACTTACTGTTTCTTCAGCTTCTTTGCAGAGGCACCATTTGCTGTCTGCTGCTATTTTCTCTATTCTGACTTTGTATGCATTTATTCTTGAGGCTTAGTCTTGAGCAGCCAGAATTAGCTCCTCTCTCTCTTTCTTCAATGTTTTTGCTCAATCATTACCAGGTTGTGTTCTGATCTGTTTTGTCTGCTATTTTTTTTTTTTTTTTTATGTATTGGCAATGTAATACTTTGCCTTGTCATGTCTCTTTTCTGTTCTTCACTTGGTCTTTCTTATAGGCTATTTGGTGTCTTCGGTATTCAGTAAGCCTTTATGGCCTACTACCTTCTATGCATCTTCTTTGCTGTCCTTCAGATATTCTCCCAGTGCCACTCCCATCTAATGAAGGTATGAGAAGGAAAGTCAAAACAGGTCAAAGAGGGATACATTATATTCTTTAAAAATAACGTGAAAGCAAAGTCATGCTTCTGACAATGAATCACCCTGGAAGATTATAATAATTCACATTAAATATGAATTAATTAATTAATTAATTACATATTAATAATAATAGATGAAGATTTTTTCACTGAAGATAAGATAAGATACCCTTTATTGTCATTTTTTTTTACTGTGGGCACAACGGCACACATCAAAAATGAAATTAAGTTGCCCGCTCTCAAAGTGAAACATATATGACACACATCTAAACATACTATGAACAACATATGTATAGACCCACACCCCTACATATACGTAGCAAATAAATATTAAATACTGTCCATCTTGAATATATAACGGAAAGAGGAAGCTTGAGAGTTCACAAGGTTAATGCTATATGGAATGAAACTATGGCTGAATCTGGATGTTCTGCTACGGATACCACAAAGCCTCCTCCCAGAAAGTAACAAGGAAAACAGGTCGTGAAGAGGATGTGTATTGTCCCAAATAATCTTACGGACCTTGCTCAAACAACGCTTCTGTGCTATGTCATGGATGGGAGGGAGGGAACTGCCAATGATCTTTTCGATCATTCTCACCACTCTCTGCACTGAAGGTTATAGATTATAGGTTATATATAATCTATCAAACTGATCTACTGCAGGTTGATAGATAGACCTTTTTTGATTTCCCAGTCTAAGGCTGAGAGAGAGAGAAACTGATATAAAACCTCACAGTTGGCTTCTTTGCCTATATGTATATGCAATATACATATATACATACATACAGGTAGCCCTTGACTTATGAATAAAAGGTGGTTCAAAGTCATGTTGGCCTTGAAAAAAGTGACTTTTGACATGTATTTGCACTTACAGCCATCACATTACCCCAGCAGACACGTGGTTTGTGACCTGTTTTGACAATTTCCAGCAAAAAAAATGACCAAAAACAAGTCCATTGGGGAAGCCGGATTTGCCTCAACATAGTGAGTCACTTAATGACCGTCATAAAAATTGTTGTAAAATTGACCAAAACAAACTATGATTGAAATTCCTGCCCCATTTCCCATTGTGGTTACAAGTTGATACTGTACTGTATTGCATTGCATTATATTGCCTTGCCTTGCCTTGCTTTGCATTGTATTGTATTATACTGTATTGCATTATGTTATTTTATGTTGTTATGTTACGTTACGTTACATTGTGATATGATACTATACAGTATTATTCTATTCTATTCTATTCTATTCTATTCTATTCTATTCTATTGTTTTGCCTGTGCACAGACAAATACATAATTTTCAAGTTCTTCTGAGCCTGCTAAAAGCTTTCTGATGTATGCTGATATATATAACTCTAAGAGATGCTGCATTATTATGGGTAGGATGATAATTATACAAAAGCCACAGCTATGGTTTATAATCCATATGATAACAAAACCGAATGATACAGGTTTCATCTTGTGTCTTGCAAGTTGCATTTCATTCTTAGCCTGGCATTTAGCTGTTCACCTTTGCCACCCCCTCAGCATTTAGGCTGAGGGGGTGGAGAATAAAGCACCCCTCCTGCTCAGCTCTCTGTGTCAATGAGACCAATTGCTAGATTGGTACTGGTTGGCCTCCTTTTTCCACGTATGGACTTACACATTAAAACTGTAATAATGTAATAGAAAAGGAAGCATTTCTCTTTGTTTTCAATCTCTCTTGTTCTCCAGAAGCAGAACACCACCATGTCCTAAGGAAACTAAAGGTATTTGGGAAGGGGATGGGAAGAGAGAGGAAGGAGGGGAGAGATGGGCTTGAGATCTGATTGTCAATGAAAAGGGCAATTTTCGAAAGAGCACCAAGATCATTTGAACCTCTGGGGACTTGATTATGTGAAGCATCTCTTTTATAGCCTGTTCTTACCCACCGCCTGTCTGCTAGTGCCCCTGATTGTGACAATAACTGTTCCACTGACATTACTCTAATTAGGACTAAATTCTACCCAGTGAGATTACCTGTCTCTCTGGTGAGACAGCTGAGGAAAAACATGCTTAAATTACTGTTATCTATTTCTTCCTGCCCCCATCTGTTTGCTTTACTCACCATTATGTCATTGCTGAAGTGATAGCATGATACATGAGCTTACAAACACTGGCTATTTTGATGAAGCTCCTGCTTAATATGTATTTTAGAAAAACAGGAGAGTTGGGGTTTCATCCTGCTTGTAAATTCCTCGTTGTGGCCCAGGGTTCAATCCATTATTCCCAGACTCCTTTTCTTTACACAGCCTCTTATAAGGATTTTTACTAGACTTACCAGGACAATGAATCGTTGTAAATTCATTTATAAATACCAAGCTGCTGTAATAGCAAAGAGTATTTGTCCTCAATGTATACATAAAATGAAGTTCCAGCTATTCCATATCATTGTTTCACACAACCCACTGCAGCCTTTTTCTACAGCTAGGAATTGCCATTTTAAATTTCCCCCAAGCCCCACTGCACATTGTTTGTTTATTTTATTTTCAGTCTGCTATATTGTTGGAGACCTATAAGACAAGCAAAAAACCCTAGCAATTAATATAGATAAGATAAAAGCTACTGACAATAGCCAGTTTGTTCTAGTGGTTAAAGGCACCAGGCTAGAAAATAGAAGACTGTGTGTTCAAGTCCCACCTTAACTATGAAAGGCAACTGGATGGCCTTGGACCAGTTACTCTCTCAGCCAAACTCACTTCACAGGACTGTTGTGGAGAAAATAGGAGGAGGAAAGAGTGTTGGAGATGTTCACTGCCTTGAATTATTTGTAAAAATAATAAAGGTGGGAGGGACATAAATAAACAAACAAATAAACAATAAATTAAAATGCTAAAAGACAAAGATGGCTGGCTGCTGGCTGGGTGGAGCTGATGCAATGAGATGGGAGGGGAGGGGAAAGGAGGGGACAAGACAAGACAAGACATAACACACATATACACATTATATATCCATCAATCCATATATACATATAAACATACAGACAGATACAAAGTAAATATGTATGTGATGCATTGAGGGTCAGTCAGAACTAGAATCAAAAGCCCTTCATGTTATATCTATAATGGCAGAGAACTATGCCACATTTACAGTGAAAAAAGCATCAGATCAGACTGAGATCAGTTCAAACATTTGCTGATAAAGGGGGAGATTAGAATTCTGAGCACCAGGTGTGCTTCATGGGGCAGCTCAGGTGCAATAGCCTCACCCTGAAGTCATGCTGGGAAAGGGATCCTATTAAATGCCTGCTCCATGCACTTTGGAGGTAGAGTGTCAGAGCTCTGCAGGATGAAAGCCCTTCTATGTGTGGCAGAGAGATTTGGGAACGGTATCTTGAGTGTTGGGAAAAACAATGCAGGGGTGGTGTGAGGCTCTGTTGTGCTGTAGGATTGAATTAAATACACTTGGCTTGGCTTCAGCCATGGCTTTAGGTAATCCCATCATAAACATAAGGTGCAGTGAGCATTCAGCAATTATTTGCCTTTTCCAAGGGGAGGTGAATTTGTCAGCCAGGATAAGCTGAACTAAGCACCCTCTTCTTTTCCCCACTACAACTTGTTTCAGCAGTATTTCAGCCATTCTTCTGGTTGCTGCTGAAGAGAAATGCATTTGTCCCTGAGGGAAGATGCGCAGAACAGGGCTCTCAGAAATTAGACTGAATTCAGTCTAATGTAGATAGCTCTTCATAAGTGTACAGCCAAGCACAGTTAAGAAGGAGGATTCACATTTTGGCTTTTAAACTTCTTCTGGAAATAATTGTGCTCTTGTAGCTTGCAAATTCAGTTATTACTTTGGTGAATTTTTGCCATTGAATGGAGAGTTGTTGATTTAGGGTTTTCACAAAGTGGAAGAAGATGCGTAGATATTTCAAGGCCTGAACAGTTTGGTAGTTGTTAATTTTTCAACTTTGTGGGCTTGTACTTTGACACTTGGAAAATGCAACCACTTTTGTTTTGAAATAATTGATTTCTGGCTCCAAAAACAGCACCTTGAATTGCATCCAGAGGAAACTGGCAACCAGTTCATGGAGCAGAGGTGTAACATGTATCATTCTGGGGACATACATAATTGCCTGTGCTGCTGCCTTTTGCACCAGCTGAATTTCTGGATGTTTTACAAGGGCAGTGTGAAGTGTGTTATAGTAGTATAAATGTGGGAATTGTTTTGTGTGCCGGAATCAGGGATGAAATGCCCATGTGGTGAAGATCTGTACAATGTCATTGATATGAAAGTTAAATATAAAGAGAATCGGAAGGAAGCCTGCTTGATTCCTTTCTGTGCAGGAATAGAGGTCATCAGCCTGCCATTTTGTCTATATTTGGTATATATATTTACTCTATTCTTACACTCAAATATATTTAGAATATATTTAATCTGCACAGAGTTGCCTACATGGATCATTATTATCAGCCAAAGGACAGGGAAGCCTGAAGATAAAGGAATGTGGTCCAAGGCAGCCTTCACATTGACCAAGATCACCTAAAGCAGCGGTTCTCAACCTATGGGTCGCGACCCCATTTGGGGTCAAACGACCACTTTACGGGGGTCGCCAAACAACGCGATCCACCATTTTCCCCCCTCGGGGTGCCGCTGCGCATGCGCACTGCACATGGGGCCGCGCATGGGGGTCGCGCCGCGCATGGGGGCGCACACGCATGCGCGGCGTGTCCGTGTGATAAGGGGTCGCCGTATAAAAAGGTTGAGAACCACTGGCCTAAAGTATTTCTTGATCAGATGGAATAGCTTTTAACACTAGTTTGCCTTTGAATAGCCTATCTGAAGCCAGCTTGTTTTATGGCTAAAAGTCTCTCTTGGATCATCCAATCCAGAAGTTTGTAACAACAATGTTTGGCATATAATTTGTTGAGCAATAGTTGTTGCCTTATGAAATAGCTCAATTCTTTGAGCATCAGGAAGCAACTATCATTTTGAATAATGGG